GGCCATAAGCCAACAAGAAAATGCTCATCCAGAGGCGGCACACCTAGTGGCCGGGGACTTTAATGCAGGGAAACTTAAATCAGTTTTACCTCATTTCTACCAGCATGTTAAATGTGCAACCAGAGGGAAAAAACTATAGACCACCTTTACTCCACACACAGAGATGCGTACAAAGCTCTCCCTCGCCCTCCATTTGGCAAATCTGACCATAACTCTATCCACCTGATTCCTGCTTACAAGCAAAAACTAAAGCAGGCAGTACCAGTGAATCGCTCAATACAGAAGTGGTCAGATTACGCAGATGCTAAGCTACAGGACTGTTTTGCTAGCACAGACTGGAATATGTTCCAGTATTCTTCCAATGGCACTGAGGAGTACTCCACATCAGACACTGGCTTCATCAATAAGTGCATCGACGACGTCGTCCCCACAGTGACTGTACATACATACCCCAACCAGAAGCCATGGATTACAGGCAACATCCGCACTGAGCTAAAGGGTAGAGCTGCCGCTTTCAAGGAGCGGGACTCTATCCCGGACGCTTATAAGAAATACCGCTATGCCCTCCAATGAACCATCAAACAGGCAAAGCGTCAATACAGGACTAAGATTGAATCGTACTACACCGGCTCCAACGCTCGTCGCATGTGGCAGGGTTTGCAAGCTATTACGGACTACAAAGGGAAACTGCCCAGTGACACTAGCCTACCAGACAAGCTAAATTACTTATATGCTACCTTCGAGGCAAGCAACACTGAAGCATTCATGAGAGCATCAGCTGTTCCGGACGACTGTGTGATCACGCTCTCTGTAGCCGATGTGAGTAAGACCTTAAAACAGGTCAACATTCACAAGGCCACAGGGCCAGACGGATTACCAGGACGTGTACTCTGAGCATGCGCTGACCAACTGGCAAGTGTCTTCACTGACATTTTCAACCTGTCCCTGACTGAGTCTGTAATACCAACATGTTTCAAGCAGACCACTATAGTCCCTGTGCCCAAGAACACTAAGCTGCCTAAATGACTACCGACCAGTAGCACTCACGTCTGTAGCCATGGAGTGCTTTGAAAGGCTGGTCATGGCTCACATCAACACCATTATCCCAGAAACCCTAGACCCACTCCAATTTGCATACCGCCCCAACAGATCCACAGATGATGCAATCTCTATTGTACTCCACACTGCCCTTTCCCACCTGGACAAAAGGAACACCTATGTGAGAATGCTATTCATTGACGACAGCTCAGCGTTCAACACCATAGTGTCCTCAAAGCTCATCACTAAGCTAAGGACCCTGGGACTAAACACCTCCCTCTGCAACTGGATCCTGGACTTCCTGACGGGCTGCCCCACAGGTGGTAAGGGTAGGTAACAACAGATCTGCCACACTGATCCTCAACACAGGGGCCCCTGAGGGGTGCATGCTCAGTCCCCTCCTGTACTCCCTGTTCACCCATGACTGCATTACCAAGCACGACTCCAACACCATCATTAAGTTTGCCGACGACACAACAGTGGTAGGCCTGATCACCGACAACGATGAGACAGCCTATAGGGAGGAGGTCAGAGACCTGGCCGTGTGGTGCCATGATAACAACCTCTCCCTCAGCGTGACCAAGACAAAGGAGATGATCGTGGACTAAAAGAAAAGGAGGACCAAGCACACCCCCATTCTCATCGACAGGGCTGTAGTGGAGCAGGTTGAGAGCTTCAAGTTCCTTGGTGTCCACATCACCAACATACTATAATGGTCCAAACACACCAAGACAGTTATGAAGAGGGCACGACAAAGCCTATTCCCCCTCAGGAGACTGAAAAGATTTGACATGGGTCCTCAGATCCTCAAAGAGTTCTACAGCTGCACCATCGAGAGCATCCTGACTGGTTGCATCACCGCATGGTATGGCAACTGCTCGGCCTCCAAGTACAGAGGGTAGTGCGTACGGCCCAGTACATCACTGGGGCCAAGCTTCCTGCCATCCAGGACCTCTATACCAGGCGGTGTCAGAGGAAGGCCCTAAAAATTGCCAAAGACTCCAGCCACCCTAGTCATGGACTGTCCTCTCTGCTACCGCACGGCAAGCGGTACCGGAGCGCCAAGTCTAGGTCAGTACCGGAGCGCCAAAAGGTCTAGGTCCAAAAGGCTTCTTAACAGCTTCCACCCCCAAGCCATAAGACTCCTGAACAGCTAATCAAATGGCTACCCGGACTATTTGCATGGCCCCCCCCACCCCACCCCCTATTTTTACGCTGCTGCTACTCTTTTTATTATCTATGCGTAGTCACTTTACCTCTACCCACATGTACATATTACCTCAATTACCTCGACTAACCTGTGCCCCCGCACATTGACTCTGTACCGGTACCCCCTGTATATAGCCTCGCTACTGTTATTTTACTGCTGCTCTTCAATTATTTGTTATTTTTCTATTTTTCACTTAACACTTATTTTTCTTAAAACTACATTGTTGGTTAAGGGCTTGTAAGTAAGCATTTCACTGTAAGGTCTACACCTGTTGTATTCGGCGCATGTAACAAATAAAATGTGATTTGATTTAGATATAGTAAACATAAACATTTGGATATAGTGATCAATTTTGATCATTTTCACTGAATATATCAAGTGTTTTTTATATCTCAGGTTTATATTTTACTGTGTGTCTAGTAGTAATGCTACCCCATTAAAAATAACAATGACAAAAGTATTGAGTTTGTAGTAAATTTACAATTTAATTGAATAAGGTAGCTAGATTGATACTGTAACTACGGGATACAGTATATACAGTAGTTGGTACTGTTGCTCACACACACTTAAAGCTTGATTGCACTAATTTCACAGTATGATTGCAATGGAAGATATTTTCCATCCCATGACTTTGGTCATATTCATGATCATACCTTGATGAATGTTGGAGAGAATATTACACATACTAACACAACCTCTGTCAAACTGCTATTCAGATCTTAGCACAGGCATTTGATTTTGTAAGTATTACAATACATCCAATTCTGTTAAATTGATGATATTTTTTGATATTCAGAGCGTTTTCTTAAATCTCGGACTAAATTGTTAAAATATCAGTCTAATTTGACTGTAGCCGTATAATGTATAGTATATCACATTATCAGTAAGTAAAGTGTGTTATGTTCAATAGAATCATCCAGATTCGGAGGTGGTTTAAAACATCCAGCTTTTGTCAGTATGCCTATTTTGTAGTTTTACTGTATTCCTGGACTCATTGAATATGACATTAAAACATATGTTATCTTATATGTTATGGAATAACATTTGTAACAGATTTGTCTCGGATTAAGTATTTTTATCCTGACAAACTTTAAATGGTGGATAAATTCCCCTTGAAAGGCCATTGGAGTACCTCAGCACAAATGGCATCCAATGCTTTATAATAATAATATGCCATTTAGCAGACACTTTTATCCAAAGCGACTTACAGTCATGCGTGCATACATGTTTTGTGTATGGGTGGTCCCGGGGATCGAACCCACTACCTTGGCGTTACAAGCGCCGTGTTCTATCAGCTGAGCTACAGAGGACCACTTTAGAAAGTCTGTGTATTTGTATGTCATTATCATCAGCAAATCTCCAATAAATTGTCATGATTGACGTTGCCATTTTCCAAGTATGTATATTTAAGTATACATTCGAATGTTGGTCATATGGACGCGAATATGAATATGGCCAAAATCTATCATTACCTCAACAATGTCAACTTTGACTGCATTAGTTCCAATATCTCTCGTGTCCGATCCTCACAAGGTAAAGCGCTTATTATTTGCATGTCTTAAAGCATAATAACTGTAAAAGTGACAATGCATTCATTCAAGTGTTTGAATTTCAGGATATTTGACCTAAATCTATTACTATTTCCATTATCACCAGATTTGACCCCTTGAAAATGGCCTCAAAAAACCACATTTCACATGACATCCTGCCTAACTTTGTGTATCACCACATCGTTTGATCTTGCATGGATGACAGCCTTTAACAAGCAAAATTATTTCCAGGTTGGCTGGTCTACTGCAGGAGTAAACAGCACACAACTGACAGGAACGAAAATCGGGCCCAAGACAGGGGATCTGTATTTGATAAAGACATTGGCACTGCACTAGTTAAAGCGTGTGAGCTAAATAACGACATAGCAGTTCACCTAGCGCATGCTGTAAATATTGTGGCTCACCAAATGTTTGGGGAACCTGTCCCTGGGTTCTCAGAGGGATGTTGAAAATAAAGTTGTCCTTCGATGAGGGAAGTGGTGGCGGGATTGTCTTTTGTTAATTTATAGAATATTTTATTATAATTAATACGGCTGCCATTTTTGGAAGATGGCTGCCACGGCTTCTAGGGGCCAACCTGCGATGCCAAAATATCAATTCTTCCACTATATATATATATATAAATAAATCTACATATGTGCCAAATTAGGTGCTTTTATTTAAAATACAAATGATATACAAACAATGGAATAAAAAGAAAGTATACAAACAATACAGTTAAAAATAATGTGTGTGTTAGAGTCTGTGTGTTTGTCCCCTCACAGACTTGGGGACTGTGAAGAGAACCCTGGTGGTATGTCTTGTGGGGTATGTATTGGTGTCTGAGCTGAATATTATTTGATTATGCAGACAATCTGGAATTTTCGTCAAACTAACAAACAGTGGAGCACTAGATCTAAGCAATCTCATGGATTGCACCTTATATCTCCTGAGTGGCGCAGTGGTCTAAGGCACTGCATCGCAGTGCTAATTGTGCCACTAGAGATCCTGGTTCGAATCCAGGCTCTGTCGCAGCCGGCCGCGACCGGGAGACTCATGGGCGGCACACAATTCGTCCAGGGTAGGGGAGGGAATGACCGGCAGGGATGTAGCTCAGTTGATAGAGCATGGCATTTGCAACGCCAGGGATGTGGGTTCGATTCCCACGGGGGGCCAGTATAAAAAAATTAAAATATGTATTCACTAACTAAGTCGCTCTGGATAAGAGCGTCTTCTAAATGACTAAAATGTAAATGTATATCCCCTTGATTAGCCCAGTAACTGTTACCCATTACCCTCCTGGTAATGAGATGAAAACAAGCACAGTTAGCATTAAACATGGGTAGCACGAAATGGACATGAGTTGCTAGAAATGCATAAAAAAGTATTTTTATTGTAATTAATATTATTATGAATCATATCCACCCTTAGAAAAAAGTGGGAGCATCGTGAGCCAAAACAAAAACACGGCAACAGTACAGGAGCCTCTTTGAATACACAGCATTTAGATTGTATACATGATTAATTTCTTTTTTGTTTAAAGTTCCTATTATTGCTCTACCAACCACATCTGTTCCAACTAGAAATTGTGAATGACTACATAATTTAGTTGTCAAAGAAAGATGAGAAAAAAAAACTGCTAAATACCCACCCCCATACAAATGGTAACAACCTCGACTGAAAACATAAACTAACAGGCAAGCACAGTCGGAGGGCCATTCATTCTCAACACCATTCAGGAATGTAACTAAAATATACCTCCATTATTTTCAATAAGGACTTTTTATTTCAATTCATAAATTGAATTTCATTTAATTCCCTGAGTTGAGATGAAATGACCCTCCAACCACACACAGGCATTTCAGTTTGAACTGAGATAAGGCTGTTGCCTCTGGAATGTTGAGCTTAAATTGTTTTTCTTGATCAGAAAAGCTCAAGAGATCAAGTGCTGCTATTTGAGTCCTCTTTTTTTGTTCGTGCATTAGTTAACTATTTTAAAGCATCAAAGAATAAAACAGCATTGGGACTGTTTTAAATATGAGCTTTTCCCTACAATGATAGACAATTGACAATTTCAGGGGTTGCTGACAAGAGACCATCAATTAGATACAGGAAGTAAGAGGGAGAGAGCGGTCTACAGTAGTCCTTGTCCCGAATGATCCGGTCTTGTGCAGATCAGAATTTAAGAGTCCACTGCTTGACGCTGGCATCATGGGAGGTGGTCACTAGAGTGTGCTCATCTATCCAGGCCAGGCCACTGACATGGTGCAACCTGTGGGCATCTGTGGAAAGGGATGGGAGAACAGTCATTTATTTCACAGTGACACCACAGTCATTTCAATGTGACACTACAGCAAAAGGGGGCAAAAGACTAGTTATCAAGAGATGTCATAAGACTAACATTTTAGAATTGGGTGTGAATATACAGTATGTGTTTTCCACTGAAAATTGAGCATTTTGAATGTCTTCCTGCAGAGCAGGAAGGAATAATGCTGACTGACTGAATAGGCTACTGCCGTCTAGTGGTGGTGAATATAATTCATTTTAGGGACATTTTGGAGAAATTCTGCAAGATTCTGCAGCAATGGTAATAAAAGACTAGATGCTGTCATTTGTCACAGAGACACTGAAAACTGTAATGTTAGCTTTTGTTGTCCAGACAAAAATCTAACTACCTACACAAAAAGGTAGATTTAGCTACCAGCTCTAAAAAGGTTGCTACGGAAAGGAGATGGAGTTTAAAACCGCTTCCCAGTCGAGTGGTGACACATTATCCATGCAACACGTTCAGTTTCCATAGTGCTGGTTTGAAATATCTGGATACGGTTACACAGGGGCTTTAAATAGCCCAACAGGGGAACTCCAGATACTTTGTGTGTGTATGCCTCTGCTCACTGAATACTATTTTGGCCCTCACCTGGGATCTTCAGTCTCTTGTCTGCGTCATTCACTGTCCAAACGTAGACCATCATGTCCATCCCACCGCTGGCAAAGTGTTCGTTGTCGGGCGACCAGGCCAAGGTGACTACTTTTGCGTGGTGTCCATAAAAATCATTTTTGACCTGTCGGAGGGGGATAAATAGAAATGATGCAGAATCCACCATGGAAAATAAAAAGTCTCCACTCACAATCAAATTGATGGTATGATTGTATGCATTACACTAGCGCTGATTGATATTAATTAACCCAAATGGCATTTGCTGTTCATTGGGCTTTAGGAATATATTTCTTGTAAACATGTATAATTCTAGCATTCAGGCCAGCGAATATGGAAGAACATGTTAATTATACTTTTTTTTGCACATTTTGCTTCAGAGGGATATGCGAGAGGCTGCATACCGAGTAATTGTCTGCCACTGTGAAGACTGTGACAACCTTCTTCTCATCAGTGACGGCCAGGTAGGCACCATCTTTGGAGTAGGCCATGTCTGTGACTGGCCCCTTGGCCTCCACACTCTTCCCCTCGTCCTTCAGAGTGTTGCCTTGGACAGAATACAAGTGGACCTTTCCATCCTGCCGGGAGGAGGGAGAGAAATGCCAATGACAAGGGGAGAAATCTATAGTTCGATCTGACCCACACCTAAATAACTTTAGCATGCAGTTTTAAGAAAGTACATTCTGAAGAGTTTCATAGCAATGATTCATTGTGCCCGATGCAAGTGTGTAAACAGAAGACTACTTGACGAAATATGACACAGGACATCATCCAATAGATCTTGAAATTCCATTATTTCTGATCCAATACTACTTCGGATCCAACACTGATGATAATAGTTCCAGTTCAAATGAAGTTGCTATATGGAGACTTACTGCCCCGCCCACTGCCGCAGTGCTGCCCCCTGGGTGGATGGCTCCCGCTTCCGGCTCATAGTCCAGACTGTCCAGCGTGAACACCTTCTTCTTGTCCTTCAAAAACACAACCTGAGGACCACCACACAGTCAATATTAACATTATCTAGCACAGACACAAGCCACAGCCCCATTCTGACAGTCAATTCAATTGTGTCACCCATTTATGAATAACATGACTAAATACCCAACCCTGACTACAATACACTCCAACTATGACGCCTGAATGACAGATGAGTGGGCACACATCAGGAGTTGACTTGGTTACCTGTCCGATGCACACAGCCAAAGCGAGCCCCCCTGCTGCTACCGACACATGTTTAGGTTGGACGTCCATCTTTACCAGGTTGGAAGCACTGCCAAAACAACAGTGTCATCATTAACATGGACCTTTACGTCCTCTGGGGAAAACTCAATGTCTGATGTCAATAGATCACTATTAACGTGTACTTTCCCTTTTAATAAAATGTAATGGTGTGGTATCAAAGGATGTGTCAAATATAGATGTTGCTCCGGGTTTATGAATGAACATAATGTATGACATCACAAATGCGCGAGCTTGCCCAATGAGAATAAGTGAAAATCATCTTGAAAGCAGGCAGTATTATTATTACAAAGCTACCCTAACTACAGATAAGAAAGAACTGAGGAATTCTACATAAATATTCCATAGGAAGCCGTTCAAGAGTTTGGTGAAATGTGTTTTTATCTCATATCAGGATAAGTCCCAAATCACACACTATGCCAAGTGTGCTTCTGGTCTTCTAACCTAAGTTGAACGCTTCTGGACCCACCTGTATTCTTTTTTGGTCACGCTGGTGAAGCGGACCGTGTCGTCCATGCTGCAGGTCACCAGCTGGTCAGTATTGTCCACCACCATCTTGGTGACCAGGTTGCTGTGACCCTTCCCTGAGAAGTCGTTGTTCTCCCCAGTCTCCGCGTCCCAGTAATGTGGAGGCCACGGTTAAGGAATGTCTGACACACCAGGAGAGGGCAGCGGAGCAGATCTTATCATGGGCTTAACTTAACACAAGGGACCATAGCACCATAACATTAGTGGTGTGGGCCTCTTGTTAAATTACCCCAGACAATGACATTAGCAGTGGTTATGGGAACTAAAACATAAGCAGAAATGGCTATTAGATTTTATGTGAGTCTTCATAAGTGCCAATCATGCTGTTGGATTCTGCATACACAAGGCCTTGACCATTAGCACTTTAGAGGGCATTTTTTAGCCTCATGTTCCAAATGCCAATCAGCCCCCATTATGTAAGTCCCATTCACACAGGGGAAAATGGACTCCACTGAAAGCACCGCTCATCGTTAATAGGCCTCAGTGTTGACACAGCATGCCCTCCTCCCAGTGAAAGGATATTGATGTGCCCGTCATGGCTGCCAGAGTAGATGTAAGAACGTCCCCCGTTTTTGTGAACCGTCAAGGACTGAATGGATTTGCTGTGACCCTGTAAGGCACATCATAAGAGAGACTTATTGTTTAGCACACAGTCAAATGGTTAGTGGTGAACAACATTCATTCAGTTTGACTCAAAACCATCACAGTTGTGACACTTTCAGTTTGGACACGATTTCAGTATTTAAAAATCAAATGAGCAATTTCAGTGGTCTCCAGAAAACTGTCATATGAACTATTGAATTTTGGTGACTGCCGAGAACCATTTGTATGCTATCTTCTGTCCTGTTACTGAGCTACTTGCATGTGTTGAGTAACAAGTGGCTTGAGAATATTTTTAAAAGGACGATTTTGTAATACAGATAATGTTTGTAGAGTGCTCATCATGATAATAAATCTGCTAGGGACCGTTTCTGGGCAGTCCGTCAATATCAGGAGATAAAGCCTGCCAGTCGTGTCTGTAAAGAATTAAAAAGAATACCCTAATCTTAACACCCCCTCCAGCCCCGACTCTGGATCCCCAACTCCTTTAAGCTGCTTTTACACTACTCTGAAAATCGTGTAGTGTGAAAGAAGCTATTGGCTGACCTTGATGGTGCGGAGTGGCCGGTCGGGGTTACTCTTGTCCAGGTAGTTGATGTAGCCAGACAGGGAGACGCTGAGCAGGTGGTCCTTCTGCCACAGGCAGCCCAGCTGCTGGTCCATGACGTCGGCGCCCATGTTGAAGGTGGTGAGGGCCGTGCTGGTGCCCACGTCCCACAGCTTCACCGTCTTGTCGCCCGAGGCCGAGATGAGCTGAGAGCTGTCGGGGCTCCAGCTCACCTGGAGGAGAACAGAGGGAAGGAGTGGACGCAGGGTTAAAGATGGGAGGCGTCGAATCACTGTCAGTTAGCAGTGCTTTCAGCAGAAACCTGTTCAGCTACAGTTTCTCTTTTGTGGTATAAGCTGGGAAAGCATGACAATTTTCCTACCGGTGTCCACTTTTTTTGTTATGGACTTCAAGCTCAAAACCAAACCTCTAAACATAAATCAAATGGAGGTATCGAGTAGAAGTAAATTAATCCACAAATATGTATATAATTTAATGTGTTAAGTGACTGCGTGTCAGTGATGTACACAAGATCCGTAATTATGTTTTATTTATTTACCAAGAGATGAAGCTTGGGTCAAGGCCAGGAACACAGGCTTAGGCCCGGACTAGCAAGCTTTTAAGGGACTGAGGACTCATTGTGTAAGACCAATCAGAAAGGCTAAATCTGATTAATATGTAACCGCTCTTTCGGATTGTAATGGGAACCCGGCTAAATTCTGGAAAACTGTCAAATCCCTGAAGGGTTCTACTTCCACCTCTGCCAAAACAAATTAATTCAGACACTGGCCTCATTACAGAAAAATTAATGCCATCATTGATGCATTAAAATCACAATTTCATTTTAGCGGGCTCTCTTTGAAAGAACTTTAAGCCTGTTGACAATGATATTGGACTGGATGCTGATAGGGGACTATTTAAATAAAGCTTTGACTATTTACAGAAAAATACGTCCTGGATGCTTTGCTAACAATAGACAAGAAATCCACAGGGGGCGACCAATTGGATCCTGGTCCGTTTAAGTGTGCAGCGCCCATCATTGTTGGCTCAATAACCCCATTTTTTTTATTTAACATTTATCAGGAAATATTCAAAAAGTATGGAAATTAGCTTGTGCCACTCCATAAGGGCGGGGATAGTAGTGAAATTAATAATTAAAAATCGCCCATTTTTCAAGGCTTCCTTGTCTAGCTAAGATTCTTGAATCCTTGGTAAATGTACAACTTTGCTCTTTATCATCTGAGAAATGTATTTTGACTAAACCAAATCAGGGTTTAGGCCTGGGCATAGCACTATTACAGCAACCACTGTAGTTAATGAGCTTGTCAATGCTTTAGACACTAAAATGAAATGTGCTGCTTTGTTTGTGGACCTGTCAAAAGCTTTTGATACTGTTGATCATGCTATTTTATTGAATAAAGGTTGTCCTCAATAGGCCTGAGCTCTGACGCCTTTTCATGGTTTCCTGATTATCTTAGTGACAGATCTCAGGCCATCGTGATTGATAGGGTTAAGTCTGAATTTATTGAAGTACCGTACATAAACGTATACCACAGGGGTGGATCTTGGGACCTGTTCTCTTCACTATTTATGTAAACACCATTGGTCAACCTGTTAAAAGTTGTAAACTTCATCTATTGACCCGACTGTTTATCTGGCTGTGTCAAAACTACAGATTTTATACCTATGCAGGAATCCCTTGCCGATTTAAAACTTGTGCTTAATATGGGAAAAACGAAATACATGTTTTTAAACTCTCATAAGAATGTTTCAGATGTACTACATGTTCACTCAGATGGTTCTCCAATCGAACGTGTTCCTGAATATACATACTTAGGCATTTGGATTGATATGGATAAAATGTTTTTTAAAAACAGATGAGCTGGTTTTTTAAAGTTGGCTTTTTCCTACAGAAACAGATTGTGCCTTTTTCTAAACAGTAGGAAGCAGATTATTCAGTCAACCTTTATCTGTTCTTGATTATGGTGATATTATTTATCAAAGCACAGCTGCTACTACTCTTAAATATTTGGATGCCATCTACCGTAGTGCCCGTCGTTTTGTTACAGGTGATAGTTTTAATACTCATCACTGCATCCTGTATCAAAAGGTCAGCTGGACTTCGCTAAAGACCCGTAGATCTCTACATTACTCCCTTTTTGTTACAAGGCCCTAGTTCATAAACTTCCGTCTTATCCAACTTTTCTGTTAAAGTATAGACACACCCGAGTTGCCTAACCCATTCACAGGATTGGTTAACTCGAGGGTGCTAAGGTCTCCACTGAGCTAGGTAAACCTGCTTTTAGTTAATGCTTCTTTTCACAGGAATACATTGCACTCCTAATTTAAAAAGGAAAGCATCCATTTTGCTTGTTTACATTCAAGTCCCTCTGAAAGACTACATGGCCACTTTAATCTGGACTGGGTGTTCACTCCTCATCAGTAGAGCCTGACAAGTTATGCAGGCTAAAGTATAAACTCAATGACTACATGTTTCAAACCACAAGGCGGAGTTGAACGTTGACGTGGAAAATAATAACGCTACAGAAGCTTTTGAGATACTTACGGCATAGACTCCTCCCTCGTGGGCCTTGGCTCCGCCCAGAGCGCCAATCTTCTCGCCCGTCTTTCCGTCGTACAGGAAGATCTAGGAAAACAGGGTCAAGTAAGAACCAGCACTGTAGGGTAAAATTGCTTCCTTTCACCATCAGGAAGAAACATGTGCCTGCTACTGCCCTACAGTCAGCAATTATTGTGGTTTCACTGAAATGTATCTGACGAAATGTGCTAATTCACTGCTGTTTTCTACTGTACTCTTATTCCACTCCACAGCATGTATTTGGACAGTGAAGCTACATTATTTATTTTTTTGGCTCTATACTTCAGCATTTTGGATTTGAGATCAAATGTTTCATGACGCGACAGTACAGAATGTCACCTTTTATTTGAGGATATTTACATACATATCTGTTTTAGCATTTAGAAATGAGAGCACTTTATGCATCTAGTCCCCCCATTTGAAGAAGTCATGTATTTGGACAAATTCACTTGTGTATAAAGTAATCAAACATTTTGTATTTGGTCCCAAATTCCTTGCACGCAATGAGTAAAGCAAGCTTTTGACTCTACAAACTCGGATGCATTTGCAGTTTGTTTTGGGTTATGTTTTTCCCAATAGTAACTGAATGGTGACTGGAGTAATTTGCTTTCTAATTGAGTCGATAAGATGTTTCTGAACACTTCTAAATTATTATGCTGATAATGCCATGATTAAGAAAAATCATGAAAGAATCATGAATAATGATGAGTGAGAAAGTTAGAGGCTACAACAAAACATGCTTACCTCTCAACATTACCAATAACAGGGGAGGTTAGCATTTTTGGGGGGAGGGTATGATCTTTGTGCCTCTAACTTTCCCACTCATTCACGATTCATTCATTATTATTCAGAATCATGGTAGCATCCACATGAATGTAGAAGTGTTCAAAAACATCTTATTTACAATAAAATATTACTCCAAAATGACAATACATTATTCAGTTCCTATTGGGCAAAACATAATCCAAAAAACGGAAAATGCATCAAACTAGTTTGTGGAGTCACAGGCGTGATATAGTCATTGCATGTAAGGAATATGGGACCAGATGCTTAACTTCCCTACTTTAATACAGTAAGTGAATTCTTCAAATAAAGTGCTTTCATATCTAAAAACAGATATGTATGAAAATACCCTCAAATAGAAAGGTGACATTCTGTACTATTGCCTAATATGTAACATTCTATCTCAAATCCAAAATGCTGGAGTATAGAGCCACATTTAAAATGTTAGCGTCACTGACCAAATACATAGTGTTGAGTGTACATTTGACTAAAACAAAAACTGTTTCTATAACAATTCAAATAGGCTGTCAATGTTCTAGCATCAGTCGTGGGTTCTGAAACAACCTTAGTGATGCTGGGTCCCTGACCATGTAGCAGCTCTGGCAGCTGCCGGACTCACCTGACCATCAGCGCCAGCCGTACAAAAGCGGTTCCCGTCTGGAGAGAAACGCACGCAGTTGACAAACCGGCTGTGGTCCTACGATGGGGGTAGAGTGGGAGAGATTGTTAGAGAATTCTTCGAGCCATTCCAAAAAAGCAGGATTATAAAGTAAGATCGCCAACTTTGATAAACAGCCAAATATAACTCTGGATTTTCTGGTTGATTTAAGAGGGTTACATTTGTATATTGGTTGTTGTTGCCAGGTCAATTATACCTTGTTACGTTTAGTCTATTTCTTGAAAATATTACGTTATTTCAAGCAATTTTGGAGAGTTAGCAGGCTTACTCATTGGTCCAGAATACACACACACACACAAAGGGACAACCTAATTCTGGAGACCCTTAGGGGAAATTCTTCAGAGGAATTCTTCTATGTTTCATAAGGCTCCCTTTTCAACCTGCAATAACACCCATTTGCTAGAGCACATAAGCCTAATTTATCTTGTTGTCTCTGTTGAAACTTCATGGGAACTACAAGGAGCTCAGACTGGCATGAACATTTCCAACTACAAATGTTTTCAGCATCGTGAATATCAAAAGCTTAGCCTGTGCACTGCCAAAGAACTAAACGCAACGCTCTTAAGATGCCTCCATCTAGGAGTGTACGCTGGTTAGTTGAATCAGGTGTATTACTGTGCTTGAACAAATATGACTATGGAACAGTTAGGACCAGTTTGAGAAACATTTAAAAAAAAACAGACTGCAACATTCTGACAAACTGATAACACATGATCTTGCCTGGTTTGAGACCATTTATATTTTATCACTGAAAGGGATAGCCCATTAGAGTCCTAACTAACAGAGCAAATTGTATCATGTTCAGCACTACCATCTCTACAGCAGAAGTGATTTAATCTCTATTAGAGTGAGGTCATTGCTTAAATAAACAATCATTAGTGTGGGGTAAACAGACATATGAACAGAGTGAGTGTATTTGTTTAATGTTCAGCTCATTGCAAGGCTTTGCATGATTTGTGAATACACTCCAAGCGAAAGCCAGCCATTTAGCGCTGCCCAAAATAAAAAGCATTTATTTTATTAGGGTCGTTTCCCCTCAACATATTTGTAGCCAAGCTACCCTATGGCAGTAAAATTGGGATGTGTAAGCACTGAATGTATATGGATGTGGCCCAAGACCAAACACAGTGATTGGTGGTAGCCTGTTGCAAACCCAAGTCCAGACAGACAGCTTTCTTGCTCAAGGGCAGTGGCAGAGGATACGGCAAAAAAAAATAGATTTTTAGCAGACTTCTCCAAGACCGGTAGTGTTTGGTAGGCATAATGCACCAAAATGTTATTACTGAATAAGTTGAGGCAGTAGAGTGTAGAAATGTAGAAACGCTGTTCACAAATATACCCAGATATTAAAGGGGATGTGGACTGTAACATGTGAATGTACACAAAATACCATGTGAAAGCAAAGAGTGGAACAAACTGAGAACCACTCAAAAAAGTTGCCAAGAATATAAATGCGTAGGCCCAAGACCAGAGTACTTCCCCTTGACCACATCTCTATACGTGCACTACAAATGAAGGCTTTTGGTTTCTGTTCTTGAACTCTTTATAGACATCAGAAACACATTTTTTTTTACCAAACTAATTCCACCAGCGCGGCACCACGAACTTAGTGACCAAAACACCAATGTCAACCAAAGTAGACTTGACGCCTACATGCTGACGCCTTCCATGGTCAACAAATGTATCCAAGTATTCACGACAGGGATAACCCGGCCATAGGACAAACACCAAGGGGGCGATTCAGACTTAGGAAATTGACGTCTTCCCTACACATGTCAGTATTTGGAATTTAGACTTCCCTTACTCAGTCGTAACGCGCTCTGCCGGTGTGGTTACCATTCAACCGCTGAAAACCCTCCCACTTGCTGGCCAACATATTTTATTGTGGAGATTTCAATCAATAGGGTTCTCAGTACATTTATCTTAAGTCATCCCTTTAAATACGGTGTACCTTTCAGTTAGAATTTTGTTGATGCTCAATAGAATATAAAAATCAAGAGAACAGGTTCCGAATATTAGGGATGAATGAATAGAAATCCATATTAATCTGCTTCAGCACCAAATTGGTATATTTAATAATACTCTGATATTGTGGTTTAGGTTTATGAAAGTATTTATGAATAAAAATAAACAGGGTTGGAGAGCGTTTACGCACAAAAACGGTGGTTTGAGTCATTCTGAAAATTGACACGGTTCTTCAACCCATGGTAATGTTGGAAGATTAGTGTACATAGAATTATAATAGGGAGAATAGTGTACAATAGTATACCCTCATCTATTGCTAGCACTGACCATGAAACTGTGTGATGACACGGCCAAGTATTGCGCAATGCATATGGTTCAAACTGTTACGGCTTGTCTGTGCTCCATAACTATTTATTTAGCTAGCCTACATGTCTTTTTAAAAATATCATCAACTGTTACTAATGATCCTCAGCAACAACCACACAGCCGGGACAGTGTTTAGAGAGGAAGCAAATGAAGGTACACTAAACAATGTAACGATAATGTAGACTATAACAACTGAAGGGAACTAACAGTAAATTGGCAGTTGAATATGTGTGGTCATTAGTCCTACTGATGGTCGATACTGATAGTGGCTAATCTTTAACATGAGAAATAGGAAACAGAAAGTTGGGGTAGCCTATAATTAAGACATTCGAGAGTGCTCATCCCTGCAAGTTAAAAGGCCGTACAATTTAAATGTTGCATAACGGCACGGAATTTCATAAAGTTTACTGTGGGAAAGTTGATATGCTTCAGTTTCACAGTCTCCAGCGATAAGGTTAAATAGATCTATACTGAACAAAAATATAAACGCAACATGTACAATGTTAGTCCCATGTTTCATGAGTATAAATAAAACATCCCAGAAATGTTCCATATGCACAAACACCTTCTCAAATTGTGCACAAATTTGTTTACATCCCTGTTAGTGAGCATTTCTCATTTGCCAAGTTAATCCAACCACCTGACAGGTGTGGCATATCAAGAAGCTGATTAAAAAGCATGATCATTACACAGGTGCACCTTGTGCTAGGGACAATAACAGGCCACTATAAAATGTGTAGTTTTGTCACACAACACAATGCAACAGATGACTCAGTTTGAGGGCGCATGCAATTGGAGCTGTTGCCAGAGAACTGAATGTTAATTTCTCTAGCATAAGCCGCCTCAAATGTTGTTTATAGAGAATTTGGTAGTATGTTCAACCGGCCTCACAACCACAGACCAGGTGTAACCACACCAGCCCAGGACCTCCACATCAGCTTCTTCACCTGCGCAAACTGTCAGAAACCACCTCGGGAAAGCTCATCTGCATGTTCGTCGTCCTCACCAGGGTCTTGACCTGACTGCAGTTTGGCGTCGCAACCGACTTCATTGGGTAAATGCTCACATTCGATGGCCACTGGAGAAGTGTGCTCTTCACGGATTAATTCCGGTATCAACTGTACCGGGCAGATGACAGACAGCGTGTATGGTGTCATGTGGGCTAGCGGTTTACTGATGTCAACGTTGAGAACAGAGTGCCCCATGGTGGCGGTGGGGTTATGGTATGGGAAGGCATAAGCTACAGACAACAAACACAATTGCATTTTATCTATGGCAATTTTAATGCACAGTGATACCATGAGATCCTGAGGCTATATAAGGTCCCACAGTTGACAGTGCATGTCAGAGCAAAAACCAAGCCATGAGGTCGAAGTAATTGTCAGTAGAGCTCTGAGACAGGATTGTGTAGAGGCATTGAAGGTCCCCAAGAACACAGTGGCCACCATCATTCTTAAAATGGAAGAAGTTTGGAAACACCAAGACTCTTCCTAGAGCTGGCCGCCCGGCCAAACTGAGCAATCGGGTGAGAAGGGACTTGGTCAGGGAGGTGGTCACTGACAGTGCTCCAGAGTTCCTCTGTGGAGATGGGAGAACCTTCTAGAAGGACAACCATCTCTGCAGCACTCCACCAAGCAGGCCTTTATGGTAGAGTGGCCAGACAGAAGCCACTCCTCATCCTCATGACAGCCCGCTTGGAGTTTGCCAAAAGGCACCTAAAGACTCTCAGACCATGAGAAACAAGATTCTCTGGTCTGATGAAACCAAGATTGAACTCTTTGGCCTGAATGCCAAACGTCACGTCTGGAGGAAACCTGGCACCATCCCTACGGTGAAGCATTGTGGTGGCAGCATCATGTTGTTGGGATGTTTTTCAGCGGCAGGGACTCGGACACTAGTCAGGATCGAGGGAAAGATGAACGGAGCAAAGTACAGAGACATCCTTGATGAAAACCTGCTCCAGAGCCCTCAGACTGGGGTGAAGGTTCACCTTCCAACAGGACAATGACCCTAAGCACACAGCCAAGACAACGCAGGAGTGGCTTCGGGACAAGTCTCTGAATGTCCTTGAGTGGCCCAGCTAGAGCCTGGACATGAACATCTCGAGAGACCTGAAAATAGCTGTGCAGCGACGCTCCCCATCCAACCTGACAGACTGAGAGGATCTGCAGAGAAGAATGGGAGAAACTCCCCAAATACAGGTGTTCCAAGCTTGTAGCGTCATACCCAAGAAGACTCGAGGCTGTAATCGCTGCCAAAGGCACTGCAACAAAGTACTGAGTAAAGGGTCTGATTTCTTATGTAAATGTGATATTTCAGTTCTGTTAGCAAATTTGCAAAGATTTCTACAAACCAGTTTTTGCTTCGTCATTATGGGGTATTGTGTATAGATTGAAGACAAAGAAAATGTAATCCCTTTCAGAATAAAAGCTCTTGTCAAGAGTTCTTATCAAGTTGTAAATGACAGTGCATTGAGAATGGTGTTATTTATGTCAGGGGAAATTAAGTAGATGGGATGCTTTACCCACTTGGAACTGGTAGGTTCGCTAAACCTTATTCATTGTTTCCTCATGTGTTAAGGTGGTGGAATTATTAGGAATTAAGTTCAGAATACAGCGTATCTGTAGACACACCTCTACCACACCTTTATTTACTTGATCTACACCCCCAAATGAATAGCAGGTGAATACCATGCTATTCCCATGCTTAAGTTAAAGGTCAGAAGTAGAGAGAAAAGTCCATAAAAAAGGGAATTACGTTCCATTTCCGCTTAACTCGAGTTGGAATTCCCCCCCAAGTGAATCCGGTCTATAGTATCACAAGGCAATACTCATGAAAATAAGTTAGAGATCTGTAGACAATTCCCTCCCAACCACACACCCTGATGGACATTGAGAACCAGTTCCAATTATTATTATTATTTTTTTCCAGGAATATCACACACTCACTGTGATTGAGAACTTGAACTTGAAAGGGGGTCCCTCAAAGAAGGCCCCACAGTTGTCATCGCTGCCAGAGACCAGGCGGTAGGGGCGAGTCTGCTTGATGTCCACGCTGTTGATGACTTTGGAGTGGCCCGAGAGCTCTCCCACAGAGGAGCCAGTGTCCCACAGGAACACAGCCCCAAACCTGGGAGGAAGAACAAACATTTACAAAAGTGGGACAGGACATGACAAAACATTTACTAAATCTATACAGCCAGAACCAAATATCGACTGGTCATTCACAAGTGCTTGGTTAAACGCGAAATTCCCCTTATCCAATAAGAAAAATACTTTTGCAAATATCTCATTTAAAAAAGGTCTTAGACATGATGTCACATACTGGCATACTGAATTTATGTCAGATACTGGGATGTTCACTTTAAGAACAGGGTTGGCCACTACTGTTTCAAGAGAGGTAAGCGTTTGTTCCAGCCAAGCACCAACATGCTGGGTTGTGTTCAGCGGACATGAAAGGAAAAAATAATACAGATAGATTATCGCCTGAATTTACACAATAATGCTTATTTTTGTTTTTCTGTTTCAAAACATTTTGTCTTATGCCTACTGAACACAAACCTGATTCAGTTAATCATGTTTCTAGAAAAAAGCCTGCACACCCTGTAATTCTCCAGGTGACGTGTTGATGACCGCTGACCTAAAGCTTATACAATCGTCAATGACATACAACCATTGTTGTACTGCACTGTTAGCAAAACCTGAGAGCTTATTTGGAAGGTAAGTGTGCAGGCTCCATTTCCCTGTCCTGCTTGTGGTCTGCACTAGGCCCTATAGACTCACTTCTCACGTCCCTCTCCTACACAAGCAATCCTTTTGCTGTCCTCAGTCCATGCGATGTCCTTGATTTTCCCCCCGAAAGGCTGGTACTCATACTTCAGCAGGTGTTCCTTCTGGGTAGTGTCCCAGATACGGATCTTACCAGACACATCTGTAGGAAACATTACATTTGAACGTTGCAGATTTGGTATCACTACCATGAAAATGATCTCTGCCCATTTGGCTCTATGCAAATTACATATTCTCCACAGAATATACACGCATGAGAGGACTCTAGGTAGATGCAAATGTCTATGTCTGGTCTTTTCACCATTCACAATGTAGACGACAAATCCATTGACAGAAGAGAAGCGAGTGAATTTGAAAAGCTTTCACGTTTCTTGGCATCTGAAGCATGATAAGACATGATAACCCATAGCTACCTCCAGAAGCAATGTAGAAGCCACTGGGCGCGTACTTGGCGACAGTAACCTGATGAGGGTGCTCGGTGTAGATATCAGCTATGGCAGGGTTCTGTCAGAGATTAAGCAAAACTCTAACATTAGTACAGGTTGTCACACACACACACATCCCAAGAATACTTTTAAAATGCACACAGCTGCAATATAGACTGGGGAAGAGATGATATCCTATAATAAATCTGACCAGGCAGCCCAAATCACATATTTTACTCTACATGAACACACTCAGATATAGGCCTATGAGTTTTAGGTTATCAGCTGTGAACAATGTGTCAGGTGATATGTTGATTTCATTGAAGGAATTACATTAATGTTCCTGATGATGACGCTCTTTCCATTGGTATAGAGGAAGTTGTTGCCTTTGGGATCCCCACCTAGGACTTTGGCAACACCTCGTTCCATTTGTGGGAGGCTGGCAAATACATGCTCTGTGTGAATGACACGGAAAAGTGTGTTATTATTGTTATCTGGTTATAGGCATGGTCTAGGTTAGTCTAGGCATTGGCCTATTTGGTAGGTAAATAACCCACACAACGATTACGTGGTCCTCTGTAGCTCAGCTGGTAGAGCACGGCGCTTGTAACGCCAACGTAGTGGGTTCGATCCCCGGGACCACCCATACACAAAAATGTATGCACACACGACTGTAAGTCGCTTTGGATAAAAGCGTCTGCTAAATGGCATATTATTATTTATTATTATTACAGAACTGTACTTCAACTAATACAAACTGAATTACACTATAACTTGTATAATGTAAAGGGTTAGTATCATGTAATGATGCCAGGCCATTGAAATGCATATTGTAAATAGCAGTCTGTCACAAAGACAATAACTAAATAGGCCGACATCTACCTCTGCTTTTAGTTGATTAATTACACTTTAGCAGATCAATGTAAAATATCAACTATGCGCGCGACCGTATAATGTACTTGCTAAAAGCACGCACAACCACCCACATTCTGTGACATGTCATAACAATGCCTTGGTTTTTCGTATGGCTATTTCAAAACTGAGTAGGTTCACGTTCAAGCTCCATCCAATAAGAGGAAAATCAACTAAATTACGAATGCGTGGCTATTTATACACAGGAACCTTCACAGTGGTGTGATGTCTTTCAAGACAGGAAATGTGATTGAAAATGCAGATTGGGCGAGGTTTGTGCAATACACACGTAGCAAACTAGCTAGCTAGCTAGCTGCTTCTCTCTGTAGTGAAGCACGTCTTCATTTGTTCTGAGGAAGCGATTAAAGGTCCATCTTTATTGTATATTGTTTCAAAAAGCAAAATAAATTAAACAACTTACTCAATTCATATGACATGTTCGCTGATTTTGTATTAATTCCTCCGAATGAATGAAACACCAAACCTCCCTGATCCACCGGCTGGTCTAGACTGCTAATCGCACAAACACGGAAGCGAACGCCACTCTTGGTATGCCTGGTGTTGCCCATATATAGTAAACTCCGACGCGAGCAGCTGCTGTAGACTTGCGATCACTTGCTTATTGAGGAAATGACGTTTGTTTGAATAGTGTAGTTCATGAAGATACCCAACAAGGTAAATATAAGACACTTTGACACTTTGCCCCAGAGGTTAAGGAGTGATGTGATGACAAATAGGTTAAAAAAAGCTATTTTTAAAACGTTATGCAGCTATCAGCGTTGGGTGTGGGGATGGGGGATTCCTAGGTATCCTAGTGGCCGGTGATTTTAATGCAGGGAAACTGAAATCCATTTCAACTCATTTCTGCCAACATGTCACCTGTGCAAAAAACTCTAGATCACCTTTACTCCACACACAGAAACTCCATTTGGTAAATCTGACCATAGCTCTATCCTCCTGATTCCTGCTTACAAATAACGACTTAAACAGGAAGTACCAATACAGAAGTGGTCCGATAAAGTGGATGCTAAGCTACAGGACTGTTTTGCTAGCACAGATTGGAATATGTGCCGGGATTCATCCGATGGCATTGAGAAGTTTACCACATCAGTCACCGGCATCATTTATAAGTGCATGACAATGTCCTCCCCACGGTGACCGTACGTACATATCCCAACCAAAAGCCATGGATTACAGGCAACATCCGCACAGAGCTAAAGGCTAGAGCTGCCGCTTAAGGCTAGAGCTGCCGCTTTCAAGGAGAGGGACTCTAATCTGGACGCTTATAAGAAATCCTGCTACGACCGCCGATGAGCCATCAAACAGGCAAAGCGTCAATACAGGACTAAATTCTACTACGCCGGCTCTGACGCTCATCGGGTGTGGCAGGGCTTGCAAACTATCACGGATTACAAAGGGAAACCCATCCGCGAGCTGCCCAGTGACACAAGCCTACCAGAGGAGTTAATGCCTTCTATGCTCGCTTCGAGGCAAGCAACACTGAACCATGCATGAGAGCACCAGCTGTTCCGGATGACTGTGTGATCACGCTCTCTGTTGCCGATGTGAGTAAGACCTTTAAACAGGTTAACATTCACAAGGCCGCAGGGCCAGACGGAATACCAGGACGCATACTCAGAGCATGCGCTGACCAGCTGCAAAGTGTCTTCACTGACATTTTCAACCTCTCCCTGACCCAGTTTGTAATACCTACATGTTTCAAGCAGACCACCATTGTCCCTGTCCCCAAGAATGCCAAGGTAACCTGTCTAAAGGACTATCGCCCCATAGCATTTTTAAAATGTTAGTCATTTAGCAGACGCTCTTATCCAGAGCGACTTACAGTTAGTGAGTGCATACATTTTTTCATACTGGTCCCCCGTGAGAATCGAACCCACAACCCTGGCGTTGCAAGCGCCATGCTCTACCAACTGAGCTACACGGGACTATAGCACTCACATATGTAGCCATGAAATTCCTTAAAAGGCTATTCATGGCTGACATCAACACCATCATCCCAGACACCCTGGACCTACTCCAATTTGCCACCCCAACAGATCCACAGATGACGCAATCTCTATTGAACTCCACACAGCCCTCTTCCACCTGGACAAGAGGAACATCTATGTGAGAATGCTGTTCATTGACTACAGCTCAGTGTTCAATAATAATAATAATAATAATATGCCATTTAGCAGACGCTGGACCTCCTGACGGGCCGCCCCAAGGGGGTGAGGGTAGGCAACAACACATCTCCCACGCTGACAACACGGGGACCCCTCAGGGGTGTGTGCTTAGTCCCCTCCTGTGCTCCCTGTTCACCCACAACTGCGTGGCCGCGCACGACTCCAACACTATCATTACGTTTGCCAACGACACGACAGTGGTAGGCCTGATCACTGACGACGATGAGACAGCCTATTGGGCGGAGGTCAGAGACCTGGCAGTGTGGTGCCAGGACAACAGCCTCACCCTCAACGTCAGCAAGACAACGGAGCTGATCTTGGACTACAGGAAACGGAGGGCTGAGCATGCCTCCATTCACCTCAACAGGGCTGTAGTGGAACAGGTCAAGAGCTTCAAGTTCCTTGGTGTCCACATCACTAAGGATCTATCATGGTCCACACACACCACCAATACAGTCTTTTTTCTTTTTTTAAAAACATTTTTTAGTCATTTAGCAGACGCTCTTATCCAGAGCGACTTACAGTTACTGAATACATATTTTTTTTATACAGGCCCCCCGTGGGAATTGTACCCACAACCCTGGCGTTGCAAACGCCATGCTCTATCAACTGAGCTACATCCCTGCCGGCCATTCCCTCCCCTACCCTGGACCAATTGTGCGCCGCCCATGAGTCTCCCAGTCGCAGCCGGCTGCAACAGAGCCTGGATTCGAACCAGGATCTCTAGTGGCACAGTTAGCACTGCGATGCAGTGCCTTAGACCACTGCGCCACTCAGGAGTCAGTCTTGAAGAGGGCACGACAACGCCTCTTCCCGCTCAGGAGGCTGAAAAGATTTGGCATGGGCCCTCAGATCCTCAAAAAGTTATACAGCTGCACCATTGAGAGCATCTTGACTGGCTGCATCACCGCTTGGTAAGGCAACTGCAAGGCGCTACTGCCTAGGGACTTCATTCCTAGTTATATGTACAGTGGGGAGAACAAGTATTTGATACACTGCCGATTTTGCAGGTTTTCCTACTTACAAAGCATGTAGAGGTCTGTAATTTTTATCATAGGTACACTTCAACTGTGAGAGACGGAATCTAAAACAAAAATCCAGAAAATCACAATGTATGATTTTAAATAATTAATTAGCATTTTATTGCATGACATAAGTATTTGATACATCAGAAAAGCAGAACTTAATATTTGGTACAGAAACCTTTGTTTGCAATTACAGAGATAATACGTTTCCTGTAGGTCTTGACCAGGTTTGCACACACTGCAGACCTTCTCCAGATCCTTCAGGTTTCGGGGGCTGTCGCTGGGCAATACGGACTTTCAGCTCCCTCCAAAGATGTTCTATTGGGTTCAGGTCTGGAGACTGGCTAGGCCACTCCAGGACCTTGAGATGCTTCTTACGGAGCCACTCCTTAGTTCCCCTGGCTGTGTATTTCGGGTCGTTGTCATGCTGGAAGACCCAGCCATGACCCATCTTCAATGCTCTTACTGAGGGAAGGAGGTTGTTGGCCAAGATCTTGCGATACATGGCCCCATCCATCCTCCCCTCAATACGGTGTAGTCGTCCTGTCCCCTTTGCAGAAAAGCATCCCCAAAGAATGATGTTTCCACCTCCATGCTTCACGGTTGGGATGGTGTCCTTGGGGTTGTACTCATCCTTCTTCTTCCTCCAAACGGTTTTAGACCAAAAAGCTCTATTTTTGTCTCATCAGACCACATGACCTTCTCCCATTCCTCTGGATCATCCAGATGTTCATTGGCAAAGTTCAGACGGGCCTGGACATGCGCTGGCTTGAGCAGGGGGACCTTGCGTGCGCTGCAGGATTTTAATCCATGACGGCGTAGTGTGTTACTAATGGTTTTCTTTGAGACTGTGGTCCCAGCTCTCTTCAGGTCATTGACCAGATCCTGCCGTGTAGTTCTGGGCTGATCCCTCACCTTCCTCATGATCATTGATGCCCCACGAGGTGAGATCTTGCATGGAGCCCCAGACTGAGGGTGATTGACCGTCATCTTGAACTTCTTCCATTTTCTAATAATTGTGCCAACAGTTGTTGCCTTCTCACCAAGCTGCTTGCCTATTGTCCTGTAGCCCATCCCAGCCTTGTGCAGGTCTACAATTTTATCCCTGATGTCCTTACACAGCTCTCTGGTCTTGGCCATTGTGGAGAGGTTGGAGTCTGTTTGATTGAGTGTGTGGACAGGTGTCTTTTATACAGGTAACAAGTTCAAACAGGTGCAGTTAATACAGGTAATGAGTGGAGAACAGGAGGGCTTCTTAAAGAAAAACTAACAGGTCTGTGAGAGCCGGAATTCTTACTGGTTGGTAGGTGATCAAATACTTATGTCATGCAATAAAATGCAAATTAATTACTTAAAAATCATACAATGTGATTTTCTGGATTTTTGTTTTAGATTCCGTCTCTCACAGTTGAAGTGTACCTATGATAAAAAATTACAGACCTCTACATGCTTTGTGAGTAGGAAAACCTGCAAAATCGGCAGTGTATCAAATACTTGTTCTCCCCACTGTACATTTATACCTCAATTACCTCGTACCCCTGCACATCGACTCGGTACTGGTAACTCATGTAAATAGCCAAGTTATCGTTACCCATTGAGTATTTATTATTACTTTTCTATTATTTCTCTATTTTCTTTCTCTCTGCATTGTTGTGAAGGGTCCGTAAGTAAGCATTTCACTGTTAGTCTACACCTATCGTTTACAAAGCATGTGACAAAGACATTTGTTTTTCATCCCTTTTGGCACCCAGCACATTCCCTAGCCTAATAATGGATTAAAGGAGCCTAACATTACTCCTTACACTTCAGTTCCCACTATACGTGTTGCGATGCCATCAGCGTCACATCAATGTGACGTTCTACCTGCTACACAGATCGCGTTGTGGAGAGTAGCAGAGAGAAGTGCGTCTTTATTCTATTTTCCCCTTTACTGGACCATATTCATCGATTATGCGTAAGTACAATAGCTTTGGTCCAGTTTTTAGCAAGTACTCATTCAATTGTTGCTAGTGGTTGTACTAAATGATCCTCTAATTACACAAGTTTATTTTGTATACATTGTGAAACAGTGGAGGCTCCTCAGATGAGGAAGTGGAGGACCATCCTCAGTGAATTTAATAAAAATATGTTATTTTTTTTACATTTAAAAAGTTAACCTTTTTAGATAAAACTATACTAAATATATTCACATGTAACACCAAATAATTGATTAAAACACACTGTTTTGCAATGAAGGTCTACAGTAGCCTCAACAGCACTCTGTAGGGTAGCACCATGGTGTAACCGGAGGACAACTAGCTTCTGTCCTCCTCTGGGTACATTGACTTCAATATAAAACCTAGGAGGCTCAT